ACGGAATTCAAAGTGTTAGGAAAACATCGGGTATTCCTAGGGTTATTCAATACACACATTTACGAGATGTACACCAAGTTTAATAAATTCTTTTTACAATTATAGAAACAAACAAGCATACTTATGGATCTTCACAAAATTTTCATAAACTCTTTTCAGAAAATATCGGATTTTCTGGTAGTTTCAAAACAATACAAAACATTGCCTTTCAAACACCGCTTATGAACTCACCAACATTTCATATGTTGACGTTTTTCAAAATACTTGTATTCTCAGGTAACAGGTAAACCAAGGGGAAAAATGTACTCAGTGATGGCTTGCAGTTTGTTTATCTATTATCGAACAATTTCTTTTTGGGAATGTAATGTTAAAACAATGTACTAAGTGTAAACTCTACCAGTTGTACTATCTCAATGCATGGTGATGTATGATGTTATGTTTCATACATATTCAATGTTATGGTATTCAATTGAGTCACGACAGCCCTCGGACGTTTCCGCCATCTGGTTCGGGGGTGTGACATTGGGCCATGTGTGGACCTTAGGAGTTCAGAGCCTTGTTGGGCCATCAGATTTCTAGTTTGGATTTTTTTTTTTGGTTGAAGGCCCATGACAGGATTTGGTCCTAATTTGGAAGATTAGGCCGTAATTGGGCTTTGGGTGTCAATTTTTGGAATTGGGCCTTTGTTGGCTAGTTTGTTTGGGCTTTGGCCTTGGGCCAAGTTAGGTAAAGATTAAAATGGTCTTTTACCCTAGTTTGGACTTTTAGTATAATTTAGTATCCAATTATTAATTGGATGTTATTTTATGATGATAGAGTGGGGATTTTCGGACCAGCAGCCAGAGATTTATCTGTGAGATTCAGTAGACCGAGGTGAGTCTTCCTCACTGTGTTTAGCGGGTCAAAGGCACCAATGCTAACCCATGATTTATTATCTTAGGGTGCTAGATGTCTGCATGACTCACGCATGTGTATGTTCTTGTATATTTAGTGGGTGGTCGAACGGGTAATATGTATTCTATTACTTGTTATATTTGTATGTTTTTATGGTGGGCAGGGCCCGTTATGCGAGTTAGTATGAGGCCCTTTATGCGATTTAGGGCGAGGCCCGTTATACTCAGTGGGCGAGGCATGTTATGCAAGTTAGGGCGGGGCCCGTTACACTCATCGGGCGGGGCCCATTATATGTTTGAGATGTGTGGTATGTGGTATTAATTGGAGGAAATTCACTAAGGTTCGTGTTTATGGTTTTCAGTTTATATTTCAGTGCACACACGATATTGTTCTCCTTTTCATGATAACTCTGGTATTTTATGATGTTTTTGATACAATTGTTCAATTTGGGATTTGTGATGATATTTTGGGATACTGTCTTATTAACTAAAAAATGAAATTTTGGGTCTTATTTTTGGGACGTTACAGGATGGAAGGTTGACAACATGCACCTCAAAAAGTTGGTACTCATGCATGTACCGATCTAAAGTAAAGTTGTCAACATCACAAACAATGGATGACTTGTCACAAGCCATGAAAAAATCACTATGAAGAAAGTATACGGATAAAAAGAATTGAAGATTCTAAAATAGTGTTTAACCGTTAAATAATCAAGATAATCAGGCAGAGCATTAAATAAGCAAATCTAATCCTATACACAGATGTGACTGCTTGACGGCATGGCCATTTAATGCAAACTTACAGCAGACACATGTGAGACGTTTCATTACCCAAGAAGCTTTTTAAGTCTGAATGCAAAATAATTTTATGCGCCACTATTTAACCCTTTAGACCAGCAGGCTTAATGGTGTACCCAGGCCGGTATCAAATAAGGAAGGGATATCGGCCTGGCATACACAGACCGAGTAAGTAACGAGACCCGTAATAAGAGGGCCAACTTAGGAGAAAGGATCGTATCGACCCGGATATATCCAAACTGATTGATGAAAGAATAACCAACAACTATCAAAAATAAACCCAAGAGATAATCCTAAGGCACAACATATAAAAATCATCATGCAAGGAATATCCCATATTTTGGCCAAAAGCAAGATCTTTGGCAATAAAATAACAATTCGTGGAAGGGACAAAAAGTTGTCTTGACCCAGATATTACCAAACGACCAAATATAACCTCGTACCTAAAGATAAGGGAGAGCCTATAAAAGCCTTTCCATATCAAAGAATAAGGTAAGCATTCAAGCCCTTTCAAAACTCTTAACAATTCTGATAAACTCTACACAACTTCTAACTTAGGCATCGGAGAGCAATATCGGGTCCAACCCTCGGTATGGATTTCTAACCTTGTCTTTGCTCATTTATGCAGCATACTTTCTGGACTACTCATTAGGAGCAAATAAGGAATTAGATCTCCACCATGTAGGCGGAAAGGAACGTAGCAACATACATGTATTGTAATCTTGTTGTGGATTTTATGTTGTTCAAGTTTTAATCAAATTCTTCTGTTACAAAATCAAAAGTTTTATGTTTTAAACTTGATTTTGAACACCATGTTTCCATCAGATGATGGAACAACGGTAGGTTGCGAGTCTAGATACCCAGAGTCATTAGCAGAACGTCGCTGTGTTGAGAGTCAACTTTGATGGTAGAACGATGTTGGTTTGTAAGCCATTTGATTGTATGTGTATTGTAGTGATGTGCACGGAAGTACCCACTAATTTTAATATTTATAACCTAACAAACTTAGACTAACTATGCACTTATAGGCAGTGTACCTAGTCATATTACAGTATAGCTTAGGTAAGTCGAGTGTCGATCACAGGGAACGGTGGTGAATTAATTTAAAATATTTGATTATAGGTTGTAAGACACACGCAAGAAATAAAGAAATGGTTATTGAATTTCAAACTAACAATTAATTAACAATTCTCGATCAATTAACAGGAAAACAAATCTCTTCGGGTACTTTGGTTTAGATAAATTACACCTTAAAAGCATAGACAATTGCATACACAAATTCATTTATTCATGTTCACCGATTCCTAAAATGATTAGATTCGCATTCACTATAACTAATCATTTAGCAAACAAGTCAATTCAACCAGTGATCAGTTGATTAAACTAACATGTTTCCTAGTATTCAGTTCGTATCAAGTAAGACTTGTAATAATAGTTAATCCAATTACTAATTCAATTAACCTCTTGTTGATGGTCATCAAACAAGGCTCACACATTAACTTACTTATTCCCAAGTTAATCCTAGTTTCACATTCATTATTCCTAGACTTATAATCTCGATGGTCATCAAAATCATAAGAGACAAGCAATCAAGCAGATGTTCATACAACTCAATTTACTTGGCAATTAACAGCAAATAATTATCATTAACACGTAAGGATCTTTTAACAAGCTTGGCAAGATAAATTAAACATAAACAAACAATTCAAGATAGCAATTAGTCCAATAATCAAGGTTTTATTTAATCATAAACTCAAAGTAAAAGGTTTTTACACCTAAATCAGAAACTAAACACATAATAGTATCTCAATGGAATGCTAAACATGGTCACGTTAACAACCCATATGATTACCGACATGTATCCGCTCTCCAACCCTTCCGATCTCCGCTCCCGTTAGCTTAACGGCCTTCCGGCCGCCTTCTAGACCCTCAAAACGGCTTAACAGAAGTTAATTATCGATTAAATTAGGTTAGAAGTCGAATCCCCCTTCTGGTTAGCTGATAATCGACTTTTATAACCCTTGTAACCGACTTACGTACACTGGGTGTAAGTCGGATTACGTCGGGCGTAGTGCAGATTATTACGCGACTGGAGTTATCTGATGTCAGCCGTTACGCGGGGCGTAAATGAAGATTACGCTGGGCGTAACTCCAATTTAGCCATTACGCTTGGCGTACAAGTTTATTACGCGGGGCGTAAATGGCTCCTCCAGCATTTTTCCTTTCTTTTAGCCTCTAAGCCTAATTTCCACTTCAATCTTTTCTTTTGTGCTTTATCGTCAACGAATAGCTACAAAACATAATTTAAAGCATTATAAGTACTTTTTAGTTCTAATAGAGAATAATAAAGGCCAAAATATTAAAATATAATGCATAAATATATATATATATATATATATATATATATATATATATATATATATATATATATATATATATATATATATATAAATACACATATCATGTAGTATGTGGTATCTGAGAGAACTCACTAATCATTATGCTTATAGTTTTTTATTAAATGATTTAAGTACTTCTGTTGACATAAGGAAGAGTGCAGCTTGATTGTACCGCATGCACATCTCTGTTGATATATGATTTAGACTTCTGCAATTTTTATGATGATTCTGATATATTTTTATGATATGATTTTTATGTTAATGAAACAATTTGATATGTTGGTTTTTTTAAATGGTTTTGGTTGTTTTACTCTTTATTTTTAAAAGAAAACTTTAGGTTGAAATTTAAGATGTTATAATTACATTAAAACAAGACCATCTATTAGATAACAAATATATAATAAGATTATAGTAAGATAGTATATTCTATTAGATATAAAGTAAGTTAATACTATCTGTATCAAACAGACATAATATAGTAAGATTACAATGATATAATATCATATGTCACACATAGAGTACACTAAAATTATCATAAGATAGTAATCTCTAATTTGTTTCATTAAAAAATCAATATATTTATTGTGACTTGGCTTGAAATATAGAGAATTTAGTGAAGATTGTTTCTTGTCATAATATGTAAACATTTGCTGGGTTTTTTACTCTTTGTTAAAAAATAAATAAATAAAATTATGTTTTTTTCATAAATAATATCAAAGTTTTAGGACTTTGTTAGAGATTCATTTCAAAAAATAAATAAATAAATAAAATTTATTTGGTTATTCACCATAAATCATAATTCATACAAAATCTAATTCCTCAAAACAAATAATATATTTTGCATTAATCCCCTGCGAGCTATATTATGGCAAACCATCATTGCATAATGAAATATGTTAACGATTGATCCATTAAAACAAACACATTCATTTTGTTTGTTTTTAGCAAATGCGATCTTTAAGCAATGTCATAATACGTAAATCATTCATCCGAATGGTTCCCCCGATTTCCTAGAGGATATAAACCCACACATTTCATTCTAATCACATTCGCATCAATGTTCTTTCTTCTGTTCGAATTTTGAATCCATTTATACATACAAACAGTTTTAGCTGATATAGAGAGAGAGATCAAAACAGGCATGAGGGATTATTTCTAATGGATAATCCGATTGGTGTTCTCAAAATTAGGATCAAAAGAGGGTTGAATCTGGCTGTTCGTGATTCAAAAGCGAGCGATCCTTACGTTGTGATCAAGACAGATAAACTGGTCACCACCCTTCTCTTTCTCTTCTCATTTTATTCAGTCACATTCGTCATGGTTTTTCGTTTGATTCATCATATCTACGTAATTATATAAACAATTTTAATATTATTAGAATTTGTTAATATTGTTTTGGTTTCATTTTGATTAAATAAGTGTTGTTTTATTCAATGTAGAGAGTGAAGACTAGGTTTGTGAAAAAGGATTGCAACCCCGAGTGGGATGAAGAATTCGATTTTCCCATTTATGATCCTGAGCTTCCCGTTAGGGTGGTAAGTGTTGTATAGAAATAAGTTTGGGTAAATTACATGAATAGTCCCTATGGTTTAGGGTAATATGTGTGTTTGGTCCCTAACTTATTTTTTAACTCGAAAGGTCCCTACTATATGTTTTTGTTACGCGTTTGGTCCATGACTAACCTAAAAATACTATTTTGCCCTTGATTTTAGGATTTATTTAAATAAACACACCCCCAATCTCATCCTTCTCACCTTACCTTACATAACCTATCATTTTTCTCTATTTAATAAATAGAGTAAATTACACGAATGGTCCCTATGGTTTGGAGTAATTTGCGTGTTTGGTCACTAACTTATTTTTTTAACTCGGAAGGTCCCTGGTGTTTGTTTTTGTTACACGTTTGGTCCCTACTGTTTGTTTTTTGTTGCACGCTTGGTCCCTGTTAAACCTAAAAAAAATTATTATTTAAATAGGGAAAACGGTGGGGTATGTAAGGTAAGGTGAGGGCGGGTGGGGTTGGGGTGTGTTTATTTAAATAAATTAAAAATCAATGGAAAAATAGTATTTTTAGGTAACACAGAGACCAAACGCGTAACAAAAACAAACAGTAGGGACCTTCTGAGTTAAAAAAATAAGTTAGGGACCAAACGCGCAAATTACCCTAAACTATAGGGATCATTCGTGTAATTTACTCTAAAAAATAGTCTTTTTAGGTAAGATAAGAACCAAACGTGTAACAAAAACAAACAGTATGGACTAAGCGCGTAACAAAAACAAACAGTAGGGATTAAGCGCGTAACAAAAACAAATAGTAAGGACATTACAAGTTAAAAAAATAAATTAGGGACCAAGCACGCAAATTACCCCAATCCATAGGGACCATTCGTGTAATTTACGCAATAAGTTTTGTATGAATAAAAGTTGGAATACATGAGATTAAATAATCATTTTATGGTTTTGTTTAGAATGAAATTGAATAAAAAATGATCGTTTATTTGAGAATTGTTCGAGAAAGTGATTGAGTCAATTCGTCAACTTTTTTACAAACTTGGCATTTAAATATTTAATCATTATTCTTTAATTTATTAAAAAGATAATTACCTATTTCATTTATCTCAACTTAAAGTCGTGTTTTTGATGAATCTATCTATGATTGCATGCAGAAAGTATATGATCATGACACGTTTACATTGGATGACAAAATGGGATATGCGGAAATTGACGTGAAACCGATTTTGGAGGCACTAAATATGACAAAGGAAAACCATCACCCGAGTGGCACTGTTTTAACTACAATACAACCCATTCGAACAAATTTCTTGGCTGAAGAAAGCAATATTATGTGGGAAAACAACAAAATCTTTCAAGAAATGTGTCTCAGATTGCGAATGGTGGAACGTGGTTTAGTTGAACTCGAAGTGACTTGGATTAATAATCCGGATCCTGGTAGTAACACTTAGCCATTATTTTTGTTTTATCTATAAAAGAATATTTAAGGAAATGATGATATATTTGGGAAATAGAAGGACAAAAAAATAAATGAGACAGTTTTGTAGAAAGTTAAGAATAATAAAAGTTTTTTTTGAATTAAATCAAAACAAAGCACTCACTAATGTGAGCTATGCGACAATATTTGTTGGTTCCATTTCACTATTTATTTGAACGAATATTTTATTTTATTGAGCCTAGATCATCATCATCATAATAGAAATTTTTTTTGGAACTCTTTCAAATAAAAAACTCTTAAGGTTATGTTTAGAAAAACTACTTGCTAGTTGAAAAACTAACTATTAAATAAAAAAAACTAATAGCTAGCAGATAAAAAATAACGTTTGATAAAAAATAACGTTTAATCAAATAAGCTGAAATATATAAAATGATATTTAAAAAAATGTGTTTCTATAATTAACCAATGGTATATTTGGAAGAGAAAAAAAAAATAAAAACTTTTAAAAAAACTAATCTATGTAGCTTTTTAAAAAATTAGCTTATAAGCTATTTTTTGATTTATCAAACATGACAACTTAAAAAGCTCGAAAAATAAATTAGTTTATCAACTAATTGTAACGTATCAAACACAGCCTAAGATTTTAAAAAGCTAAACTTTTTCAAAACCAAGTTTTTTCAATGAACATGTTAATTAACAAGGCTTATGGATGGAATTTTCCTAAAAATGGTAATATCATATTCATCAAGCTATATATTTGTTAAATTAAGTATATTATTACTTTTTGATTATTATATATTTCAACATATATTTTTTATGTATATTAATAAATAACTATACAAATATTAATATATTATTAAACGATTATTAATTTTAAATATTAAGACACAAGTCTTTACCATCTTGTTCCACTTTTTGAGTATGAAAACTTATCTTACTGACATCTGTTTTATAGTCTAATGCACATCAACCACAATACAAATCATAGCGTTACATTATTTAAAAAATATCAAGCATTATAAAACCCAAAAAAAAGATAAAGATTTAACAAGTGAATAACATTTGAACAAAAAGCAAGCCTAAAAAAACGTATTTCTCAACTCAAACAAAATTCTCATATCAACTTGCAAACAAGAAAAACTACTCCATCTAATTTACTAAAAATCAAAATAAATACTTAATTCTTTTCTCTAAACTTCAAACTTTAACAAAACAATTATTATTGTGTTCTCAAGTGTCTAGAGCCGATAATTCAACTTCTTGATTGCAAGGTCGATATACCACAAAAGTGTTATCATTTGCAAAAGAACCCGGATTGAAGCAAGTAATACCCGTGTATTTGAACGCCTTTTGTTCACTACTATCACCCAATACAATCTGTTAAAAAGATTTTATAAGTAAAAAAAATATATATATATATATATATAAAAATTAAGCTATATAAGTTATTTATAATAAAAAGAGGTTTACAGTATGTGGAGTTGGATAGAGATGAAGACAGTGATCATGATTCCAAATAATCGGTTGAACACTTAAAGGAAGAGGGCATAGATGACTTTGATGTGTTATTGTTGCCACAAGCTGTATTTAAAAAAAAAAACATTTTTTTTAAATAAAATATACATAATCAATAATAAGTAATAAGTAACTCACATGCTCAAAATGTTCGCTTGTTTCTTCTGTTGAAGAAGGAATCAGACAATTCCTTCTCATTCTGTAGAGTAAATCTTGTCTGAAGAATACTATTTCCTGTGTGTAAAACTTGATTCTGATTTAAAAAAGGAAGTGGAATGTTAGTGCTTTGATGATTGCCATGATTCTGTTAATGAAAAGAAACAAGTTGTTTTGATTGGGATGGAATGGAATGAAGGATTCCATTCCTTTCCTGATTCCATACCTGCATGGATTGCTTGCAAATATGGCATTTGGCACGTGCTTTTGAAGCTCTACAGTTATGTATTTGGGTAATGCACACTTTGGTAGAACACTTGAAGGACCTATAACAGCAAATAAAAAATAAATAAATATTCAAAAAATGAAAATAAAAAAAAAAAAAATTTAAAATCAATGAAATTTACCTGCATCTTCAGGTCCAGGAATGAAAAGGAATCTACTCTGCTCTTTCAACCTCGGATGCTTTGCAATCATTTCCCCAAGCTTACCAAAACTCGATCTGAAGGGTAAAATCGTCTTTTTTTTTCTTAATGCAAAAAATAACAATCTATTTTTGTTGATTTGTTTATTATAGCATCCGACTTTCATTTCTTCATACTACTACAACAATGTCCTTGTATTTTTTTCATTTTTCCTAATCTTGCCCTTTTACTCATTTTTTTCCAAAAAAAAAATTGTAAAATGTGAGGGGTTTTTTTGAGAAAAACTATAAAAGTTGAGGTTTTATTTGGGGAAATTGTCAAAAAGGTCCCAATATTTTTGGAAAAGTTACCATTAAGTCCCAAAAAATATTTTAACAAAAAAGTCCCGATTATTTGATTTTACATGATAATATGTCATTTCCTGTTAAAGGGAAAAAAAAAAAAAAAAAAAAGATCTTTTCTGACAATTTCCCTTTATTTGGAAGCATTTAGAAGGTTGAGGGTTTTTTTTAGAAAAAATGAAAAAAAAAATACAACATCTTCTCATGCAAATAATAAACTTGAGGTTTAATCCAGAAATATATATATATATATATATATATATATATATATATATATATATATATATATATATATATATATATATATATATAGAAGTACAATGTTGTAATAGAAAAAAAAAATGGAAGCAATTTTTAATGCTATAAGAAACTAACAAAGTATGTTGCTATCTCTTGCATTTAGCCTTTTTTCTTAATTTGAATATAATTTATAGGAAATCTGACCTGATACTTGAGAAAGAATTGTATGAAAGGTTAAATGGATGTGAACAAAAATTTCCCATTAACACAAAAAGAGAAGGAACCACTTCAACTTCTTCATAACCATCTAGAACAATCTCTAGCTTTGCCATGGTCTTCTCTAATAAAAAACATTTTTTTTTAAAAAAAAGATATTAGGAAATGAATACACAAAACTCTTTTCTCCAATTTTATAACACAAAGTGGTTTTTAAACAATATATGCAACCATGTTTCATTCTAGGACCAATGATTAATGAAACATGATTGCATATGTCATGTAAAAAACAACTTTGATTCATAAAATGAGAAAAAAAGATGAAAATTTACAATGAAAAGACAACTAATACAAATTTATACCCCCTCATGATCCAACCAAATGTCAGAAAGTATGACAAACATTTCATTAACTGCCCTTGATTCCATTTCTGCAAGTCTAATCTGGAGAAAAGAAATCAAGGAAGCTTCCAAATCTTTTTTTCCCCTAGAAATTCAGTGTAATATTAAGCAAAATATGAGTTACATGGTTAACTAAACCAATTAAAGGCTTAAAAAGGATACAGTGTCCTCTTTTGCAAGGGTCCCACCACCAAAATAATCAAGTCCTGTGAATAAAGAAGTTGACTTCTCTCTATCTTCTAATGGTGGAAAACCAAATGTTTGAACCTACATAACAATCAAGAATATAAAATGAGTCCATGAAAACTATGGATTAATCACAAACATATGATTTAAAGTTTGATGTTAGTGAACAGGTTTGAAAAGGTTTAGTGAAAGGGTATAAATATAATAAGACTTACTTGAAAAGTACCATCTAAAAGCATTTCACCTTGAGCTAAAACTATGGTGTTCTCTGAAAAATACCCTGTTGTTATTTTGTACATATTGTTAAGGAAAAACCATTTCATGTATGTGTGAGTTTATGCCTTTATGGATTACCAATCTTTAAATAACTCTCATCATAACTTAATTTTCTTTTAAGCGATCAATAGACTGTAAGTCTGTAACATAACAAATAAGAAAAGAAATCAAGTGATTAAGGATATTGCATTAGAAAGATTGATTTCAACAGCTCCTGTAAGATCTTCTAAGTAGAAATGGCCATCTTCTAATTGAGATATGACACCCATTACCCAACATACTCCAGTTCGTCCAACTAGAGATTGAACTTTAGATATCTGCAAAGAACAAATACCAAAAATGATGTCAAAAGAGTTTCTTATTTGCTAAAAATGAAGTGTTGATAGAGAGAGAGAGAGAATGAGAGAGAGAGAGAGAGAGAGAGAGAACCTCACAGCTACCGAATTCGGATAATTCACTATCAAATGAAGAACTAGAAAACTGTGGAATTCGAGAAAGTCTCTGAGACAACAAAAGAAATCTATCTCTATACAACAAAGCTTTTGAAGAAGCATCACCATGAATCGGAAGTCTCCCTGTATGTCTACATGAAATGAAAGATGCATAAATGACAACATTTGATTTCAGTATAAGATTCATCTTAAAATGAACAATGATGACTGAAAGAATATGACTGAAGCACTATAGACACGAAGCAAAAGACTTACTCGCAAAAAATCTTTTTGATAGGATCATAACGGAATTTTGGAATCAGGAAGGCGTCAATTACACTGAAAGAGGAACTCGTATTTGTACCAAGAGTATCATCAGTTGCAGATGCAGCTTCACACAGCAGACTTACAACACGCTGTATAGGCTCTTTATCCAGAATTGAAGACTTCACTGTTTCAGGAACAGTTTATTCAAAGAAGAAAAATTAATATATAAATTCATCCAAAAAAAGAAGTAGAACTTTGATGTGTATAATGTCAAGTAAAAGGTTTTAGATGCATATTTGAAAAGCACCGATTTGAAATCCAAATTCAAACATGGTAATTTTTGAAAAGTTAAGAAAGTTGCGAAAACCCTAAAAGTAAAAACACATGAAAATTTTCAAATTCGAGATCGAAGACATATAGTGAAAGGGGTTATGAAAATTACATGATTGATGTTGAAGCTCATCAAGAAGGAGCTCAAGGGCTTCATCTTCAGCGTCTTCATAGTTGCTTAAGAAAGAAAGGATCTCAGTTAGGGCTTCTACTTTGAGAGTATAACCCCTCATCTTGCATTTCCTCTGTACTTTGTTTCTCAACGTTCCACTCATTTTGTTTCTCAGATCGTTCGTTCTTCTTCCTCCCTTTCTTCAATTGTCTTGATTCGATGAGAACCAAGAGAGAAGATAACTTTTGCGGCTGCTGAAAATGGCGGGAAAACTGCCACCAAAGTTTATATATATTTGATGGGAAATTGGCATAAATAATTAAATACCGTTCGTTTTTTTAGATTTTTACATTATTTTACCGCCTCTTAACCCATTTTTTTACCACTTTAAACAATTATATATTTTAGACTAAACTGCACGAATGGTCCCTGTGGTATGTCGAAAATTGTCACTTTGATCCAAAAAGATTTAGACTAGCATCAGTGGTCTAAAACTTTCATTTTGTTGCGTCTTTAGTCCAATCTGTTCTGATTTTTTTCAAAATGACGGATCTACCCCTGTCAATATATTTTATCTTTTTTCTTTTTTTTTCTGATTTTCAGATATAAAAAAACATTAAAATAAAAATAAAAATAAACCTTTCTATCTCTCTCTAAAAACAAGAAAATAAAAATAAATCTCTCTCTCTCTCTCTCTCTCTCTCTCTCTCTCTCTTGCCCAATATTTCTCCTTCCCTCTTTGTTTGTTCTTCCCTCAAGAACACCTCGTAAAACCTAGAAAAAAAATTAAACACAGAAAAAAATTTAAGCCAAAAAAATCAAACCCATTCTTCAAGTTGGTTTTGCAAATTAAATGATGGTGAGTTGTTGCAACATTGGTAATGGGAAAATCAGGCGAGTGAAGAAGGCATTTGGGTTTTGCTTTTCTTTTGCCGACGATGCGATAAAAAGGGCTCCGATTTCTTGGAGCTCCAAAAACCGGCGACCACCCATCCTTCTGAACCAACACACCACCGCAGTTATCACGTCTCCGATCCCCCCCTCAGACGAGTCGCCTTCGAGTCGCACACAATGGAGCCAAAGCCGCCTGCTAAAGCAAGCCCTAGTGTCACCGCCTGTGAAAAACACGCCCTAGCGCACATGATGCATCACCACCAACAAAAAAGCTCTTCATCACCACCACTAGAAACCCTATTTGCACCTCCTGTCCAAACCATAGCGCCGCCATCAGATGAGAACAATCTCCATAAAACCCTAGCCGTCATGAACATCCTAGATCTGTGTATCAGATGAAGAAGAAGGCAGATGAAGAAGCATAGTTCACCAGTGAACATGAAACAGATGCACGAGGGATTTGATTCAAATGTCTCTATGAATATCTCAAACTGGATGAGCGAAGGTGATGGTGGTAGAGTGGGGACAGGCTGAAGTTGAATCAGATGCAAGATGGATGAGAGGAACATATATATGGTTTGAGGCTATATTCTTGTGATTTTCATACCCATATACTAAAACCAATGAAGATTAATGGTGTTAAGGTTTTAGATGTGGGAGGTAGACGACGGAGAGAAAGAGAGAGAGAGAGAGAGAGAGAGAGAGATTTATTGTCATTTTTATTGTTTTTCTTAATCTGAAAAAATCAGGAGAGAGAGAGAGAGAGATTATTTTTATTTTTATTTTTATTTTTTTTTAATCTGAAAGTAAAAAAACAAATAAGAAAAAAAAATCATATTAACAAGGGCAAATCCATCATTTTGAAAAAAATCATAACAGATCGGACCAAAGACACAACAAAATGAAAGTTTTGGACCACTGATGCTAGTCCAAAATTTTTTGAACCAAAGTAGCAATTTTTGACAAACCACGGGGACCATTTGTGCAGTTTAGTCTATATTTTATTCCTCACTAAAAATATCTTTCAAACAACTTCCTAAATAGCCCTAATTATTCCAACATGGGATAATGCTTTAAAAACGAAATATATTTTTGGATTTGAAATATTTGGTCATTGAGTTTTTTTTCGTTCATATTTACCTCTTCAATTTATAAAATTGTACACATTTAATCCTTATGACCGGCTACTTCAGGTTGGCCTGTAAAAATAACTTAACATGGTAATATATTTCTCACTTTGTACACATTTAGTCCTTAATATTTTTGTACACATTTAGTCATTAATATTTTTTTGTTGCAAAATAAGTCGTTTTTGTTTTTATACTCATTCAGTATTTATGAATGGTTTTTTTAGGTTTTTCTCATGATATCTTACGTGTGACATTCATTAATAAGGTGTTTGAGACTTTTGATGTTTATGTATATCGCAATATCAGCTACTTAGTTGTTTGGTCATGTGTTCTGAACATCAAAATTTCTTCATACGATCTCAAATTTTAAACGATCTTTATATATATGTGTTCGTATTTTAGTCTACTACAACTTTCAGTTGGATTACTCCCGTTAAAAAGTAATATATTTTTACTTACAATCTTTATATCTACATGTTTTTTTATGAATGCATGTATGGATGTTTTTTTTATAAAATTGTAAGTAAAAATATCTTACACTTTTAAGGGAGTAATCTTAACAAAAGTTGTAGTCGATTCAAAAATGAACACATGGATATAAAGATCGTTAAAATATGATATCGTATGAAGAAGTTACGACGTCCAAATACATGACCTAAGCGAAACTATAAGACCTATGCAACCAAGCAGTCGAGATCGCGATGGACATAAGCATCGATAACCCCAAACACGTCATCAATGATTGTCCCATATAAGATGTCGTGAGACAAAACCTAAAGAAATCATTCATAAGTATTGAATGAGTACAAAAAAAAGGACTTATTTTGATATATATATATATATATATATATATATATATATATATATTGAGGACTAAATATGTAAAAAAAATATCAAGTACTAAAGGAGAAAAAAGATCCTCACGGCGTGAGACATAGAGGCTCACGACGTGAGATATGTTGCATGAAGATTTTGTCCGAGACTGAGCTCATAACGTGAGCAATAAGAGCTCACGACGTGAGGAGTAGTGCAACCCAAACCCATGATCTTTTAGGGTTTCCTTCGTATTTAAGCATCTCTAACCCTATTTTAGGGTTTCTTATCGACCCTAAACCCTCATTCACCTCAGAAAAACCCTAATGCCCATCCTTGATTGATATTTGGTGGTTTTGGAGCTTTTCTTGGATTGAAAGAAGAAGAAGAAGAAGAAGAAGAATAAGAAAAAGAAGAAGAAGAAGGTCTTGCAAGGAATCATCATCAATTTCACCTTACATTGTTTCTGGACCTTTGTAAGTGATAAAGCTCATACCTTTATGATTATATAAGGACAGATCTAAGTTTTGTCCCACTTTTTCTTCTTGATTGGGTATGTTGAGTGAATAGAAACCATAAAGTTGGCAACTTTTATGAGTTATAGGGGCCTTAGGGATGTCTTGGAGTTCAGATCTAGATAATGGTTGAGTTTTGGAACCTTGCATGAAAGTTGGATGCCTTTTTCTTCAATTTTGGACCTAAATGAGATCTAGACATGTATTGGACATATATGTCTTAGAAACACCTATTTTCTAGTGTATTAAGAGGTTATAAGACCTCGTGGAAAGTTAGAGTTCAAGGATTAATGGATCAAGGACTTAAAAGTTGGATTTTTGGCCTCAGACTGTTCTCAAGACGTGAGACACAAGGTCTCACGATTTGAGGAGCAGTTGATCCCATTTCTAATGAGTTGGTTTGGGCTCACGTGTAACACTGTAAATTTTCAGCCAAATTTTCATTTTCAAAATCACATAATTCCCATTATCACTTTTTTCAAAAACCACAAGTGTTTAAATTATCACAAAACACAAAGCAATAATTATTTGATAATAATCCAGGATACTCTAAAACATAAAATTCATTACGTATGTACAATCAAGTCGGCGCCTTCCTGTGATCATGAGAAGTAACTGAAACACATATCATATAACACAGTAAGCACAAAGCTTTGTGAGTTCCCCAAAATACCGCACACATATCGTTAGTGTAACGACCAAAAATTTCAACATAATTTAAACTTTTCAAAACAATCCATTTTAATAACATTATTACAAAAAGGTTTTCAATACATTATTTATCAGAGTATTCCCAGGTCCATTTCATAAAACATAAACGCGAGGAACGGTACGATCACGCCTTTGCCTTGCCACAGTCTCCTGGAGAACCTGAAAAACATTAGACCACAACTGTAAGCCCGAAAGCTTAGTGAGATACCCCCAAAATACCAAACACATATACGCCCTTCCGGGCTACAACCTTCCGGTCCAAAACATATTGCCTTCCGGCCCATAACATATTGCCTTCCGGCCCATAGCATAAAAAGCATACATAACAGAACAGAACATAGAACAGTCATGCATAACGGGTTTACTGTGTGACTGGTCCGCCGTATCGGGCCTTCAGTCCACCGGATCCACCCTCCGAGTCTAGTCATGCCCTTCGAGTCTACAGTGTGGTTGGTCCACCCGCACCGGGCCTTCAACCCACCTGGTCCACTCTTTGAGTCTACAATATGATTGGTCCGCCCGCATCGAGCCTTCAGTCGGCCTGGTCCACTCTTCGAGCCTCGGTACATCTGGTCTACCCTCGTGGAGCCTATAGCCTATCCGGACTGCTTGCTGGGCCTTTGGAATAACCGGTCCGCCCTAGGTATCTTGGCCTATAGCACAAAGCAGGACCCGCCTCAACCCATCTCCAGTCCAAACAACCATGTGCACATAACATACAATCATATAACAGTCATAGTCAACAAACCGATCAAGCAGATCACATAACATATCATTACCCTAACCAGGTTACCGACCTAACCGGTCACTAGCATAGCATCACTCTACATATCGGGAAACCGACCTTAACCAGGTCCCTAGCATATACCATCCTAGCTACCAGGATGCAGACATATCAAACAATAACATAATAACCATATCTGAATCTCAATCCAAATAAAGGGTCGGCCTTGGTGCCTTAGACCCTGTTGATATAGTGAGGATAGCTCACCTCGCGAATACCGATACTCTGAACGGAAGAAGCAGACTCTCGAACCACCAACTCACCGCAAATCCCGAACTAACCAACATAACAAGCATAAGCATTAGGTAAACATACTTCCACTTATCGGGCCAAGACCAAAGTCCCAATCTCACCCAAAGTCCAACATTGGCCCAATTTACCAAATTGGGCCCACCTCACCAAATGGGCCTAAATCCAATATCCATA